GACACAACTCAACAAAATGCAGCACAGAGCTGCCCATCCTTAAGAAATCAACGCTGATATCAGGGATCTTGTTATGTTAGCTGTTACCTGTAAATTGACCTGTCTCTCTCAGTAAGTTCACAGGAAGATTTCAAAAGTTGTTCTATGTTTTAATTCAGAAAGCCCTAAATGGCATAGATCCTATATGCTTGAGGAGCCATTTCTTATCACCACAGGAGAAACCAGCAGAAATACTCAAACTGGAGCTTTCTGAACATCAGTGAGAGGAAACGGCTGCCAGAGCATTTTTCACGAGAACTTGACTGGAGCTCATTTACCCTCTTGCTCCACCAGTGTCTGGACCGTTAAAAGGTATGCTGCAAAGTCCATCTTTTCTCACAGCCATTAAGGGATATTCACGCTCATTGAGAAGAGGGTTGGAGAACACAGGATGATATTAGGTCTTGTGCTGTTCCATTATTGGCAGAATCTTTCTGGTTTTTTGTATAAGACTAGTAATTTTTAAATAACTGAACTCGGAACTGCTATAAACCAGCACAGCTCCATCAACCGTAACAGAGCTCTGCTGACCTTCAGCAGCTAAGAATCTGGTCCACTAATATGCCTGAATGTTTGCAAGGACCCAAGAGGTCTGCATAGATGCCAGAGAAAGCAAAAGATTAAGTAAAACACTTGGAGATCTTTGGTAGAAGGTGCTACGTTATTGTGCAGAATGTGGTGATTATTTCTTACTAACCCCTATGGCAAGGGAAAATGGCCCTATTGCTTAGTGAAAAGAAACAAGAAATGTCAGGAGCTGAGAGAATCAAAGCTTTATTTTGAAATGATAGACCAATGTGCCATATTTCTGCATTAGCCTTGGGACAATAGAAAAATAGCTTTAGCAAGAAGCATGTCCATATTTTCAATTCTTTTGTGTATTCGTGCATCACTAAGTCCAACCCCATTTCTTTCACAGCCATCTTAATCTTTGCAGTTTTTCTTTTCTTGCCTCCTTTCTAAGCAGCATGTTAAGATGTAGATACTGACAAAAGCAGTAACAGGGAGTCCTGAGCAAAGCATCTGGCTATCAGGAATACAAAGCTAATTATCTAAGGGTTCTGCAGGGCTGTAGTGATTTGGAAGCTTTCCATGACAGCCTAGATATAATTATTTTTGGGAAAGGTACAGCCTATCCACTGTCAGAATATTATTAATCATCTTTGAATAGTTATGTAAGTACTTTTTAGAGCACAGTATGGAAAATAACGCTATTACCATATTTGCAAAAATGTTTCACAGTCCCTAAAAATATTACAATGCTACTGACAGAAGAATTGGGATTTTTTGATCTTATCCAACATGGTGATATTCCTCTACAGTTAACTTTATATTTTATTGAGAGAGTTTTGTATTAAGGGAAAGGCAATATTTATGCCTTGTCTTTAGCAATTGACTATATGTGATTGATTATTACTCTATTATTTATGTGCATTATGGTAGTGCCTAAGGGCCTGAGCCAAAATCAGGGTCTTGTTGAGTTCACTATTGTACAAGCACATAGTAAGCAGCATTTCCTGCCCTCACGGTTGTACAATCTTCTGAGTCAAGACAGAGAGTGGGAGAAAGGGAATGTTAAGTTTACTGATGGGAAAATTGGGAAACAAAGTATAAGGCTTCTGCACCGCAGCCTGTATGTAATGAAGTCAGCTGAACTCGGCTGGCTAAACAGGGCCAGCGGAGCCCCAGCCTCTTCCCCCAATTGGTTCTGGTTTTAAGGAACTTGTGCAGCACCTGGTCCCAGCTGCACAATGTATTGGTTTCAGTCCTTGAGTAGCTCCTGCTTCTGTGACTTCCCCGGTCCCTGGCCTGATACCCCTGAGTGGGTACCCAGCTCTCCAGACTCTGGTTTTGACTTCAGATTACCTCCTGACCACTGATTCTGGTAAACTCTGACTTGGTATTTGAACTTCAGCTTGACTTTGGTCTGCTCCCTGAACCCTGATTCTAGTTAGTCCCCTGGCTTGGTGTTCAGTTCCTGACTTCTGGTTTCTGACCCTCTGGCTTGTAACTCAGATCTGTCCTCTGTGGCACCAAACTTCTGGTCTACCCTTCACTCTACCCTGACACCTTTGTGGAACATGACACAATAGAGCCTAAATTACTTTACCAAGGTTATGGCACCAGAAACTGTATCAAGATCTCCTAAGTCCCAGCCCAGTGCCTGAACTACAAGACCATCCTTTCTAGGTTTCTCTGTCCATGAATACTAACCATCTTGGGCCCAGATCTGCAGTTTTCTTATCCAATATTTTATTATTTTCACACACAAAGCAACATCTTTGGCAACTGCATGAATTCTTATGACTTGTAAAAATTCACCTAGTTGCACCAGTCATGGGGACAACAAGCAGTCAGTCCCACAAGCACCCATGGCACGAGTTTTGCCTGCCAGCAGCTAGGGGTGCAGGGCCCCAGAACCCCCCTGCACTGATCTCGACAGCTGGCAGGCGTCATGGCCTCAGCAGGAGCCACCATCACTGCAACAGTCACCCTGCTGCGCCTTAACACACTCAGTGTCACCCATGGCACAAGTTTTACTTGTCTGCAGCTTGAGGTGCAGTTCCCCCAAACCCCTGCACCGATCTTGAAACTTGGCAGAATTTGCAGCCTCAGTAAGAGCTACCACCCCTGCAGTTTTCACCCCCGTGTTGAAATGCCCAAACGTGACATGAGTTTTGCTTTCAAGAATTTGGGGTGCAGTTCCCCCAAACCCCTGCACCGATCTTGAAACTTGGCAGAATTTGCAGCCTCAGTAAGAGCTACCACCCCTGCAGTTTTCACCCCCGTGTTGAAATGCCCAAACGTGACATGAGTTTTGCTTTCAAGAATTTGGGGTGCAGTTACCCCCAAATCCCTACACTGATCTTCTTGAAACTTGGCAGGCTTCATGCTCTCTGCAGAGTCTACCATCCCTGAAAATGTCATCCAAATTGGACAAAAAACAACAAAGTTATAGATATTTTATTGTTTCCCCATTATACCCTATGGCCGGATCTCCGAGGCGGCTCTGAAGCGCTTTGGGAAGCCGAACAAGGCAGCACTTCGACCCGGATGTGCTGCTTTGGACCCCTAAGCATCCGAAGCTTCTCTGGATCCGAAGCTCTGTCCGAAGCCTTGCACAACCCTACTGTTTACAATAATTAGCCTTGTCATAACACCCAGCTACTCGGGTCCTGGACAAATATCTCTATTCTAATCCTGGGAGGGGAGTACAAGTTAAAATATGAGTACCATATCACAATAGGCAAAACAAAGGTAAGAGCACATTGAAAACTGGTAAAAAATAGCTAATTCAGGTAAGAATCCAGAAGTGTAGACAGTAATCTAAGGTAGCTGCCAGCAGACCCAAGCTTGTGCTGAGATTGTTGTGCAAGTTATGTCAGTTTTTACTGAAGTGAATAAAGACTATCTGGTCTCATGCATGACAAGATTCCCTGGAAGCAGTTAAAATGAGTTAGTGACATGGAATGGTTGTTATGTCAGAATGCAATGTGAACAGGCATATTGCAAGTATTATACAGGAGTATTATAAAAGACTTAGCTGTTTAAACACTAAGGAAAGCAGAACAGACGTCCTCTGTCAATGTGATTAGTGAGCATCTGATACAAAATTTCAGTGAGTAATTAACACACTTGCCATTTGTACCAGCAGGATCCAAAGCAGCTCACCTGAAGGATGCTGTTATTTTCCATAAGACTTATGAGAGACTCAAATATATGTTAGCACAATATTTGTGAGACTGGCAATTACAACATCCCATTTATGTGTTCTTCAGATTCCTCAACAAACTGTAAGAAGCCGCTGATATGTAGAAGCTGGTAAATAAAATAAACTAATAACTTTACTGATACAAAAAAATCTGGAACTATTCACAGTCAAAGGTCTCTGGCAGAAACTTGGCTCAAAGGCAAATGCATGGCCATTTTGTTTAGTCATTTGTCAATGCCATATTGTGTCTATATACTGTGGGAGGTGTTCTCTGTGTTGGACAAAGAGGAATCTCAAAGGATGCCGCTCCAGTAGGACATTTCATTCTCTTTAAATACCTGGCTGATTATTGTGATTTTGATGAGCATGCCAAACTCAAGAAAAACTGTTTTACATGACTGGAGTAGATTTGTTAAACACAAGGTGGAAACAGACGTTGTCTTTTGTTGTCTTTGTGACTCCATAATTTTTTTTTAGGGTGGCAAAAAGGCCAAGCAGACATTCACGCCCCTTGTTATGCCACAAATGCTCAAAAATTATGGTCACAACAAAGATAGTATCATTTTGTGCCACTGTTTAGTGGTAGGCAATGGCATCTATTTGCTTCATGGCAAGAGAGCCCAGACAGCATGGAGCTACCTGCAATCTCCAGCCACCCCAGGTAGATGCTCCAGGAGCTTGAGGGGCCCAATCCTGTGCAGAAATTCCCAGGGTGCACAGGACCAAGCCACTCGAACCTGGGAGAACACTTCACCTGTTGTCCTGCAGCATCAACAGGCAGGCCAATAGGCAATGTGTATTTTGCCCAATGAAGCAGAGCAGCTCTGCCAGGACACATCCTAACACTGCTGATCCACTTAATTTGACGATGTCTAGTTCTAGCCCCAGAGTCACACATGCTAGGTTTTTGGAAATGTATCCTTAGAAAGAGCAGAGAGACTGATCTTTTGAAAGTTGCTGTTTTCCAGAGGCCTGGGAGGAGTTAGTTTTGCTGTTGCTATTGCACATTGTCTGTTGCTTCTTAAAAAAAAAGGGGGGCGGGAGGAAGTATCCTGTTATTAACCCATTAGCTTTTGTCACTAACAGAGTAACCATTTTAAATGAAAAATTCTTGCTAAGACAAACTGACTTAGTTTATCAGCCTTTAATGGGACTTTTCACTGTGACCTTTACAGTAACTGGATTAAGTTAACATGTTTGTTTTTGCAGCATGATGAAACGTTTGCAGCAGGTAAAGGAAATCTGTGTTCTATTCCAAGCCATTAATCTCCATATTTTGATCTGTTAATTTTCTTCTGATGTTCAGAAATTTCACTGGCGTTGAACTCTTATAACCTAAATTAAAGGGGGAAAAGGAGATACTCGCTGTGCATGAACAGGGAATAGAAAAGTGCATACAGTGTTCACGCTGGTTAGCCACTGTGCTGTGTTCCCACTTCCACTGACATTAAAGAATGAGATCTAAGGGACACTTTAGACACCTCTAACTTGGGCCTTGCAAGAGCAATTCAAAGAAATGAGTAAAGACCCTGCCTGCCTATTTAGACAATGAGGAGCTACTGCTGTCAGACAGTGAGTCAGGGCAAAGGCATAACTTGCCACTACTGAGCCCTGGGCAGGAGCAGCAGCAGCAGCCAGAGGTTTCCTGCTGCTGAAGATGCCACCGCCTTTTTTTACTGCCATCATGCATTGAATAGCCATCTAAGTACCATTTTTGGCAGCAAAAAATGAGCTGTTGGCTTCCCAGAAGCAGCAAACTAGTGACCATTGTTCCTGTAATGTGTGCACTGCCACCGCTGCCCTGCCCTCCCCGCTGCCAGAGCCAGAGCCACTGCAGGGAAAGCACAGTGTGGGGGAGAGGAGAGGGAATGGGAGGGTGAGGTGCCAACTTAGCTGTATTCTGGCACCTTCCCTTAGGCAGCATTCAGGTCTCATGCCCCATTCGCCCACCCATCATTATGCTACAGTTTCAGAGAGCCGATAGAGTAGGGAGCCAATAGGAAGCACTAGGCGCAGGGCTGTGTCTGAACTCCTGCTGCCGTCCAGGGCTTAGGTGTCTGACTCAGGGCTGCACGTTAGGCACTTCCATCCACTTGCACCCAGAGCACTAAATGCTTTTCTTAGAGTAGTCACGCAGTAATGGCAGTGCCACTACTACCCACCTTTTTCACAGTGGTCTAATGGTTAGAGAAATAGTCCAGGAGTGAGAGACCTGAATTCTAGGGCTGTGTGTAGATGAAATGAGGGGCACGCGTGCACGACACTTTAAAGCGGGTTAAATGCTTTTGCACCGCTTTAATGGTGTTGGTGTTCGCACATGTCGGCGGCGTATTGTGTAGTCATTCCAGCAGCTGTAGCAAATTTGGCGGCATAATGCTGCTGTGGAGGGAAACACCAGCCCCCTCCACAGCCCAGGGACTGCTCTGCCTGCCAACAGCTTGCCCTCCCCTCCATGCCGCCAGAGAGACAGGTAAGTGGGTGTGTGCATGACACAGGGGTTTAAAGGGCCCTAAATTGAAGCTGTGTTTTTAAAAACCCACTGCTTCTATTTAGGGCCCCTGTTTTGTCTTCACGTGCCCTAGGTCATCAGCCTAAGGAGATTCAAACCAACATCTTTCACATGCTTGGCTCTAACCACCAGGCTATAGTGTGCTCTGGCACCCTCCATCCCACCCGTTGAAGTTTTGCCATTGTGTAAGAGTGATGGGGACAGAAAAAGAGCATGCAAGAGGGTTCCTGATTCTAGGGCCAGTGGTTCAAGGTACTCAGCTGGGAGGGGTTATCTAGGGTCCTTATCCATTCTCCTAAGCTATTTTCACCACCGCCACCATTGTCTGTGATGGAGCCTGTTCTGAGAAGGGCACGTGGCACTCTAGACCCTAGGGAACAGAAGTACCTAATGCATACCCTTGCGTCAAAGCTCCACAGAGGGGTGGGTGTTCAGATATTCCCTGTGATTAGTGCTTCTTATTGCCCACCTTTATGGGACTCCACATCCAGCATCTGGACTTTCTGAATCACTGTTCAGAGGCACCTCACTCTCCCAAATGGCTGTACAGGGAGTCCATATCCCTGACTCTGTTACTTTAAATCACTTCCCTAAGCATAGACAAACATTTTCAGGCCTAAGTTGGAGGGTTCTAAAGTCCATCTATGGAGGGATCTTGCCCTAAAGCAATAAAAGCAATCACATATGTCATATCGGACCCACCCACCTGAGGTATGAAGAACCATCCTGCCAAGTCTGGGCTGCTGATTTATCTCCTTCCTTGTCAATGCAGCCTTGAAAATGCATATTGATCCAAACCAAAGCACAGGGTTGAACGTCTCTCATGGAGCTTTTCCTCATGCTCCTAGTTCATTCATTGTGTCTTTCTCTTGCAGAGCAGCCTAGGCTTGTTGGAAGGACTGGGGCCAATGCCAGACAAGCTCTTCCCCAAGATTTTATTTACTTCATAACAATGTGCAGTCCACTGAGCTAATAAAACCATAAAGAAAAGCATGCTGGTCCCCAGTTCTTAGGGCCATGAGAGCAACTGGATGAACTGAGCTAAGAACCTTTTTACTGTTCCCATGCTCTGCTCTGCAACAAGTATCACCCTTGTCACTGCCACTAAAAGACCACATTGCCCTGTAGTTCACCCAGCCTGCTTCAAGGGTTGCAATTCACTGCTGATTTGGTACTTTCTTTCCAATCCAGGAAGGTACTTAAGCACATGCATACACATAAGCTTGTGCTTCATGATAGGTACAGTGTCTGAGCATTCTGCTTGAACAGGAAGATTTCTCTAAATTGCGGACCCAGTCTGTTGGACATCTTGGCATGAAGCACTTGCTATAATGGACACACACCACTAACCAGAGGTTGGGTAGAGGTAGGTTCCCTGTTGGGAAGTGGGGGAAAGCAAGCTAAACAGGGAGAAGAGAAGACACCAGTGTTGTTGCCACTTTTGTGGCTTCATGCAGCAATCAAAGAATAATTATGTGATATTGAAATCTCCAGGCCACTCCTTTAGAGGTACTACAAAAATCATATTTGTCTGGAAACCAAAATAATCCCTGTGCTGTTGTTGCAATCCTGTGTCCAAAATGGGATGTATTTACAGGAATGGCAAGTATTTAAGCACAATAGTATCACATCACCATGGTGTGACACAGCATTGCAATCCTACTTCCTGCCTGTATGTAGTGGCATGCTCCACAGGAGTGATTCTCATGTCACCACCTAAGCATAAATGTTTCTAGCTGACTGTCTCTATTTGTAAATTGGATACCACCCTCAGCTCTGAACTTCACCTTTCTACCTGCTTTATGTATGTGTACAAATCTACCTGCATGCTCCTCCACCAGTGTCCATGGATGAGACTGCTACCATTCCAGTTCAGAGAAATCTTCCTCTCCTAGTGCCATGATTCCTGCCTTCCCTTCTCTCTTTTCTTTCCCCTATTCTAGCTCTGAGGACTTCAGGATGTGGCCCAGATTGCTGCCTGCCTTTTTGCAAATCCAAACTTAAAACCTTTCTTTTAAATGTTGCTTCCATATAAGACAGTGATTTCCAAAATTATTGGGGTGTGTACCCTTTTACCTTTACCCATTACTGCTTGTACCCCCTACACCCGGTATATCCCTACACATTCATTCCTAAGGAGGAGTGTTGACACCAGTGTCAATGTGCAATAATGCCATTATTCACCATGGGTTGATCAATCAGAAGTTCCACTTCCATTATTATTAGGCACATTACCCTTGGCAGAGCACCACATACAACTGATTTAAGAGCTAATTGAATCCCCTGTGTAGATGTGGTGCAGGATTTGCCAATATACTGTGCATAGCCTTCAATCACTCCTGTGGATTTCAGTGCTTCACTTGGAGCAGGGAGTGGCTAACTGGGAATTTTGGAAAACATTGCCTTTGGTGTATTCTTTGGTGCAATCAGATTTATACTGAGCTTGCAAAGCAAGGGATGGATCCTTAACTGCTACAAATTGTCTAATTGAGTGATGACAGAGGTATTTGTCAAAAACATATTTTAAAAAATTACTTTTTAAAACTGCATTCAAGTCCTCTAGGTCAAGCTTGTAATATTGGTCTTCATCATCAGAAGCGTATCTCCTGCCATCTATTAAAAAAGAGGTGGGGGGGGGAGAGAGAGAGAATCGAGCAAGTTAATAATATTGTCACAACAGCATTCAGAACAAAAGAGTGGTATAGATGCTTTACTATATGTTCAGCATATGGATAGAGGGAATCAAACTGAATCAAAGATGTCATAGATTCATAAAGAAGTAGGGCTGGAAGGGTCCTACAGAGGTCGTCTAGTCCAGTGGTTCTCAACCTTTTTTCTACCAGGAACCATTTGTAAACATTGATGGCCAGTCTTGACCCAGTACCTCTCACCCCCAATCCTCTGGCCCCTGCCCTCAGGCCCCAGCCCCACAAGTGTGTAGGGCAGGGGGGCCCTAAGCATCCCCTTGCAGGCTGGAAAAACCCATGCTTTCCCATGTTTTTCTCCTTTAAAGGAGAATCCATTAAAAAAAATTATTGATCCATTTTTTAAGTTTGTTTGCAACCTGTTCATATATTCTTGTGACCCACTTTTAAGTTACAATCCACAGGTTGAGAAATGCTGTTTTAGCCCAACCCCCTGCTGGGAGGGTGATCTGATAAACTGAGCTCCTCACTCCCAAATCTGGACACTGACTCCATCTTTGGCCAAGGACATGCTAAACCCCTCTGGTCTTGGCTTAGGTAATCCAAAGATCATTGCAATGAACCATTGGTTGAGCCTGTGATGACTGCAGAATGCCTTGCATCCGTACACACACAGCAGCTGTCCAGCATTTATACCGATCACTGGGTGCCTATTAGGCCTGTGTGAAGTGGCTAGTATTCACTTCAGTTTCGTATTCAGCCAATTTGGGGCACGGTGATTTGATTCGGTGATTCAAATCACTGTCCTGAATCAATTTGGCCGAATCTGATTTGACGATTCGCCGCCACCGAATTGGCCAAATCGTTGAATTGCCCTCATCCCCCACCTGGTTTCCCAGCCCCGTGAATGGCTGCCCTGCCTGCCCCAGCTCCCAGCTCTTTGAAGAGAAAAAAAAGCCCCAATGCACTGGGTCCTGCCAGGCAGGGGCCGATCCCCGCTGCCCCACACTGCATGGGGGGCTCTTCCACGAGCCCCCAGAAGCCCCAACAACTGCTGCAGCAGTTGGTGAGTGCAGGGCTTTCTTTTTTTTCCCCTTAAAGAGCCAGGAGATAAGAAAGGCAGGGCAGCCATGCGGCTGGGGGCTGGGAGAGCGGGCAGGGATCGGGGGGCTCATGGCAGAGCCCCCCATGCAGTGTATGGCAGCAGGGATAGCCCCCCCATCTGGCAGCAGCCGGTGAGTGGGGGCTTTTTTTTAAAGAGCCAGGAGCAGGGGCCGGGCAGGGCAGCCATGGGGGGGGGGCGGGGGCTGGGAGAGCAGGTGAGGGTTGAAGGGTCCTCAGGGGAGCTGGGGGAGCAGGAAGGGATGGGGCCTGGCAGGAGTCCCCCCATGGTCCCCTCCCCCCTCCTCCAGCCCCTACTTATCAGCATGGAGTCAGGGTCCAGCTCCCTGCTGCAGCGAGCGGGGACTGCCTGAATCTCCAAAGCTCTCCAAATCATTTCCAAGTCAATACAGAGAGCTTCGAATCAATTTGGACCTTTTAATTGGTCTCCTGATTCAATTTGGATTCAGAGATTCAGCCACCAAATCGAGCCAAATCTTCTCTGAATCGAATCAGCACCCAAAGCTTCGCACAGCCCTAGTGCCTAGATACATGCTGTAATTGCAGTGCATCGGAGAAGACTCAATCTGCGTCTTGTGCGTTAGTGTCCCCACACTGAAAAATGGTGGTAGGGGTTCTTTAACAAAAGCTCATTCAATGAGCTTTACTTAAGGTGCCCTCCTCCACCCCCGCCACCATTTTTCAGCTTGTGTACACTGATTCACATAACGCTCTGGGCGCTTTAATTAGAGTGGCTCTTGGAGCTGCTCTAATTAAAGTGCCCCTCCCATCCCCCCCCCACACACACTCCCAGAGCACATGTATAAATGCCCATTGTTTGTAACATCTGAGACAGTCCAGTGAACTAGCAAGTGTTTCATCAACTTATCAAATGGGCAACAACTATAGCAGTTATTCTCAATGTTTTTAGACTTGACTAGAGCCTTTGACTAGAGGCACTTCTCCATAACTGTTGTAAATTGAGCAGCATCCTGTTTCAAAGCTCATTTATTACAGTGCTTACTTCCTTGTTGAGATACTGGGCAATCGGGGCAGGGTAGCAGCCAGGAAGGGAGGAGCCTGAACTTATCTCCTCTTACCTTCTAGCACCCTTTAAAAGATCTTGCAGCACTCCAGAGTGCTCCAGTGCCCTGGTTGAGAATCACTGATCTACAGTAATCATCACAATTGTATCTTTGGAAGCTCCTCCTTTATCTGCTAGGAGCAATGAATGAGGTCATTTCTTCATCTTCAAGTTCTCTATGGTGGGTGGCCAATTTTAGCCAAGGGAGCAAGAACATTTGAATGTCAGACCTAGTCAGAGTAGTTAATATAATTATATATAATTACAGTGGTCTAAAACTCCTCTTTCTGAGGGAGGGAAGACTTTCAATATTATTGTGTTCCACTTCACTGTGGTGACTTTAGGAATAATGCAATGTGACATTCTGCAGCGAAATACTAGATAGTTTCACAAGTTGGCGGACACTGTATAGGGGTCTATCTGTGAAAGTTTTGTGACCCATGTCTATAAAAAGAATTTGGGAGAGCCAGTTGTGTATAGTCTGTTATTCCTATGCACTGTAAGGATATTTCCCTAAAGACAAGACTCCACCTTTTTTAATTTTTTAAAGCAGTATGCTTGTCTGTGACAGTACTGGTACAGAAGTAGGGAACAGTGAAAAATCATTATCTATAACTGCTTCATAAAAAGAGGTTAAAGGAAATCTGTGGCCCATTAAGTGGCTCTTATGTAATGGGAGTACAGTTTGTATATTTGTTATGTAGGGGATACTGTATGTGGAGAGCAGGAATGTAGAAAAAGGCATGGATTTTCAGGGCTATGCACAATCATTGATTTGGGATGCAAGGACGGGAGCAGAGTTAAGGTTGGTTGTGGATTCATAAGTGAAAACTTGAAGTGTTTTCAATTTTGACAAGTTTTCTACAAACTCAGAATTTCTTAGCTTGCAAACTCTCTTTTTCTGTAGCTGCAGCATTCTTACTAGATGCTGCTTGAAATGACAGACAAAATGACTGCTTGAAATTTGCTGTAAATGGGGGCATTGCAATTTGAAACAAGGGATGCCTGGCATTTCTGGGATCAAAACCTAGATAGTTTAAAAACAGTGCCAGCTCACTGGGCAAGATATTCTCCTTGCCTAGTGAGTTCCACAGGAGGCCAGTTAGTACATGTGAAGATTATAATAGTAGCAATATCTCAAGGGAATCCTAGTATTAATTATCTGCAGACTGTAGAGGCTACACCGTAGTCACTGTAATAGTTCCTGTAATAGGAGTCCTTAGAGTCGTCATAACTCCCCAGCAATAGTCCTATGGCATTACTTAATAATAGAGCCATATTCAGTCCTGATTCTGACAGAATTTGGGGTCTTTGCAGCTTAGTTATTACTTATTACAAGTCATATTATGTGGCCCATCTGAAGACCTCATAGTGCTACTCAGGAGGAATAGAGCAAAAGTGATTTTAAGCTAGCTCTCTATTTCCCTTAATCCTAGGCAAGCTGGTACCCTGGCACCAATAAGAGTAGCTTCAAGGCTGTCCTAACCTGCACCAGCTGCCAGAAGTCCTAAATGCTCCTTATGAGAACCAGGGATCACTGGGGAACAGGAAAACTGTGCTGAACTACTCCTGCAGCAGTGATCTCTGCACTGGACACAGGGAGGAGGAAGGAGTAAGGACCTTTATGAAAAGGGTGACCACATGTCCTAGTTTGGCCAGGACAGACCTGGATTTTGGAGACCAGTCCCAGCCAGTGTGAAAATTTCAATGAGCATCCCAAGCATGGGGCACTACTGGGGAGGTGGAGCAGCACAAACTGTGAAATAGGAAGTCCTAGCAGACAGCAAAATTGCCCTAAAATAGGTTAGCTTGATTAGTGGAATGATCATTAAAAAGGGGAGATGATTGTTAACATCTGTGAAGTAAAAAAAACAATGGCTCATTAACAGACCATTGACCCCTTTAGCTGCCTGAATAATAATATCAGAGCTACACCATGCTGTCACCCCTGCCTCTGCCTGCAGACTTGAGTTGGGGGGGCAGCGAACAGGGGGCAGTGTTCTGGATTTCACATTCTCATATGGTCACCCTAAATATGAAGGTCCTATCTGTGAATCCCCTTACATTGGGGAATAGTCCTGTGAATGGTTCAAGCAGCCTCAGGGTCATCATGCATGCATGAAGTGAAAGAAAAATTATTCTAGTGTAAGGGAGAGTCTGGGCCCTTAGCTCTAACGTACTCCAGAAATATTCTGGTTTTTAACTTTAATCACTCTCAGGTGACTTGCATATATCAGAGTCTCAACCCCATGCAGTCAAAGGGAAAATAAAACTTAAAAAACATAAATCAGAGTGGAATTTATGAATCCAGAGACTTAACAGTAATTCTCAATGAACTCTTTGCTTACTGCTGTCTGGAAGTATATTATTCCCACAATATCACACACAACATTTCTCCAAGATGGAAAGAGCATTTCAGATGTAGTCAGCTACATCCCATGCAAATGTCACCTGGATAATATCTGCAGACACTGAGTAGGTGTACTACAAAGCCCCAGTACCTTTTATAGTACCTCAGCGCAAACGTCTTGTTAGAGGTGCCGCTGATTTTTGTGACATTAACTTATCCGATGATAAGAAAATGCCTTTGCCCATAAATTGTTATCTCATGTCTCTCTCCAGCCTATAGACTGCTCTGGGAATCAACAAAACAAAATACCTGCTTATTTATCACACTTTAAAATATCTACGTGAAATCTTAAAACCTGCACTGGAGTGCAGGAGTCCTGTTACAGTCAGGCAGAGATTGGAATGAGGGTTCATTGTTTGTTTTAAGGACTAGACACTAGGAGCAAAATAGGTTTTAAAGTACACAATGCAGTCTATTTTTGCCACATGCTATCAAACTGGTTTGAAGCTGACTATAAACAAGGACGTGCAAATGTACAGCTACAGTAGTTAGGAAAACAATCTTAATTTTCTGTCAGTACTGTTGCACAGTTTTTCCAAAAGGCGCATGCTTGTAAACAAGATGTTGTTTAAAATAAATGAACATCTGGTGAAGTTATGACAATCATATTAATAGAAAAAATAACACTTCTCTTGTAATAAACTTTGTACATAATACAAACATCGTTGACAATACGCTGGTGTCAGTTTAAACTTACACAACATATTTATTTGCATAATGTAGGCTAATGCAACTTTCATATTGTAAATAGCTTTATTAACTAGCTAGTATGTTTTTACCTAAGGTAGTGTGTTTAAAACTGCATATTACTTCATTTTCATAAATCTAATTTTTAATCCAGCTAAGCATATATTCTTACTGCAAAAATTATATGCTAGTGCATTTAACTTACATCGTCCTTTGAGGTATAGCATTGACTGTGGGCCCCAATTTCTTGCTATTAGTTTACTCTGCAAGTTGCAAAAAGAAAGTAGGCATTATTTCACTGGAAATGAAACCTCTCATAAAGTGCTATAGAGGCAATTTTAATCCAAAGTTTACCTTTGGAGCACACCAAGATTCAACTATAAGAAAAACCATGAAGATGGCACAGATGCAAACCACTGCAGTTTTAGTTTTCTGTAAGAAAATAAGAACAATATTTTTGGAGAGCAATGATGCAATTTTGCTAATTGCATCATTTTCATGATGCAGTTAGCAATATGGAGCAGATAACAGTATCAATCAAACTTCATGCATACACTGTAATCTCCTTACCATTTTAGCACGTCTGTTGTCACTCCCTTCTATCATCCAAATACTGCCAAGGATTTGGTTTGCCACACTCGCTTGTAAAGAGCTTTGAGTAGCTGATGATCAGAAAACATGTAAGTTCAGTTGGTCATGTTTCTTTCCAGCAATCTGGTTTACAAACAACAATGCATGCATACAGATTAGAATGCAAGAATTAGATATACAGTATTTACCTTCCTTCGTGATCAAAGCAAGAAAATTATGTGTCAGGCTCTTTTATACCAGGGGAGCTAATGACAGTTGTCCCCGTGAGATCTGGAAACAACCTGTACCCAAAGGGAAAAAAAAACAACACAAAAGTTGACTAAATGTCAAGCATTGTCAGTAGGTGGTGCATACATGCAATCTGCATCTTCTGTCCTGTTTAGTACCACAGCAAACATCTGTCTATGGAGAGGGTTAAGAAAAAGTGTCCATTGTTCTTTGACTAGTATACAAGCACTTTTCCATCACTTTTTTCTTTTATTTAGTTATTTATATAGTACCACAGTTCCCCTTTTATTTACACAGATTTCGGGTTTTTTTACTTGGATGCACTGTTCCAGCCCTTCAATGCAACCATCATATATGTCTTATATGTCTTATATAATGCCATATTATATAAAAGAAACATTATTATTGTATTTACTTTGTAAATTTACTTCAGTCTTTAGATCATTTGATTGAAAAAGCAATCACTTTATATGTGGTCATTTCAGAGATTCAGATCCATTAAGAAATGAACTAGTTCCTGTTATTTCTGTTTCTGTTCAAAGAGCTTAATATCGCTCTGTTTATTTTTAAAGTTTTTAAGTTTAATTATGGTAAGATGAAAAGTACGAAAGGATAAATTAATTTCTTAAGTACACAGGACTTTCCAGAATTAAAATATGTTTCTGCCACAAAGGAGAGAGGTTGAATCATTATAAACCAGTAAATGAAAACAAAGTTAAGTCGTATAGCAAAATATTCTGGTCAGAATAAAAGAAAATTAAAAGACTGAAATTCAAGAGAAATTGTAGACTGTAGGATTTTATTTCCTTTCTTCTTTCTCTCAATGTTAGCTGAAAAATGAGAGATTTGGTGTTGGGGATGTGTGCACACTTTTCTCTTTGAATTTTTAGGAATTAAATATTATATATTGTCTGGCTCTCATTTACATGGAAGTCACTTTTATACTGCTCTACCGGTGTAAACAGGCTTTAAGATAAGACAAAGTATCTGTGAAGGCCTTTTTACACCACCAGAGTGATAGAACATTTTCTCAGTGTAAGAAGGAATTGGGCCTATTTTTCTTGACTGTAAGATAACAAGTTAGAGTCGGCTCATATGTTCCTTGATCATAAAACTCCCCTTGATGTTCACTGGAGGTTGGAAGAATCTTCTTAGAATGGTCCTATGAAAATTAAAAGTAAGGGTATACCAATTTTGGCCCTAATTTATACCATGTGCAATCACACTAAATCAGCATATTGCCACCTGGAAACCAGCACTGGATTCAATCCTGAATATTCAGAAGCTACGATACCAAAAAATGGAGTGTCAGTGAGTGAGCTGACAGACCCACTGTATTCTTGGTAAGAATAAATAGGTAATGTGGGTGATGCAACAATTTGTGTGATATTTAGCAGTATGTATGACCAGACCTGTTTTAAAAATTCTAACTTCACTGCGGCCTCTGACACACTAACGTTGGGCTAGGGACAGAAATTCTACATAAACCAGCATAAGTGATCTGAAACCGGTTCAAATCTGTAACGCTACAGAAATTCAGTACACGTAACCTGCTTTCAAAATGGCTGAAACCAGTTTAAGATAAACCTGGATGAGTGTGGTATCAGACTTAACTGATTTAGGTTAAATTGATTTATTGAACTTCTATCCCAGATCCCCTCCAAATACAAGTTAACTCACAATCCTCCAGCACATTGCACCTCCCCTGCTAGCCCCCACCTCCTCTCAGGGTGAGCAGGCTAGCCTTGTCCCAAGCTGTCTGCTGCAGCAGATCAGGGAGATGTACTCTAGCACCATCCCCATTCCCCCCCAGTTTATGGCCTAGACAACAGCAGGCATGTGGCTGCATTTTGGGAATCAAAAGTGAATGTCTGGTCACTTGCTTATTGGTTCAATCTATGCAGTTTAGACTAATGGGCAAAGATTTAATCAATTCAACCTCAGGCTTTTTCACTGTCTGTACTTAGCTGTAAGGTTCAACTCATGTGTTAATTGCACCATAAATAGTAACAGTGTTACATGTGCAGCTGATTTATGCTACCATGAAGTAGCAAACCAGCCACAAAGATATTCCCCATATTGTGTTGAATATCTTTGTGGCTTGCTTGTATGGCATCTTAAACTGAATGTGTAGCATGTCCATGGGGTCACAGGATCCTGGCAGGGGAACTTGTGGGTTTGCAGCTCCCAGATGGCAGTGGCTTAACTTGGGATATGATCCCTGATCCCAACAATTGTCTCCTGACATGCGTGTGTGGCATGGCAGAAAGCACAAGTATTCAGATCGGGGATCAGATTGCCTTGTGCCATTACGTGAACATCTGTCAGCACCTTGCCTCTTCCTTACACTGGCTGTAATTGTCCTACAGTTAGGGACCAATGTGGGTGTCAGCAGATTTAAATAATGGGAGGAGTTCCACCCCAGTTCCATACAAGTGAATCATGGTACTGTGGTACTTGCAGTTCTTTCTTTTGCTGTGCATTTGGAGCAGCGGCCAGGGGATCTGCAAAAATCGCAGACTCCTCAAATCTCACTCCTGTATGTATCCTTCCTCATCTCTGCCCTCAAATAGTGACCCACAAGTTGGGACACAAGAAACAGCTGCAGAGCATGGCACAAAACTATGCACAGAAGTATGGATCCCCTGCATGGACTCTCAAAATCCTGCCCCCTCATTCTATTCCCTGGTCCATATGCCTAATGGGCCCTTCTCACCAGGTGTCCAGTTCAGCACAACATGTATACACATCCCTAATACACATCCCTAAAAGTAGGCAAATACAAAATGTCACTCCCCTCCTGCAAAACGCACCTTTAACTATAACCTCAGTTGGTGCAGTTGGGGAGCAGTATCTGCTATTTAAAATTAATTAAATGCATACATTCAAAAGCCCTTTTTGTGCATCTTCATCTGAATAACCCATAAACATGTAGTCAATAGCTGGCCTTTGTTTTGCTTTTTTTTCCTAGTTCCCTAATTATCTTGCATCAAAGCTATCTGAATTCAAGACTTTAAAGTATGAATATGTCTCCTTCAGGTCTAACATTGTTAATATTATGACAGATTGTATCCGATGCTATCTTTCTGTAGGGCTTATTATATGTAATGCACTCCATGCTTTTTTTGGCTTTGTTTTAACCAAATGATTTGCTTTTTTCTGTGTGTTCAATTACCACTTCAGGGATGTTGTGCATAAAAAAGGCTAATTGCTGCCAGAATTTGAAGTAACTCATTAAAACTACTCCCAGAACAAATAGGCTGAATTTTACACCTATTCACCACTCCAAAACAGATGTTACATTTGTAAAAGTCTGATTGCTTACTGGCTTTACATACATTTCATTAGCAAAGTATATGTGTATTTAATTTGTTTTCTTTTTTAAGTCTCATGTGGTGCTCTGAGAGGGTTAGTATAATTTTAATTTCAGTAAATCAATCTTATTAAAATAGTCATTATGGGTTTAGTCTTCAAGTCCTTATACCATACTTTAATGCCCAAGTATTGCAGGATTTGAACCTATATGTCCAGCTGATCCACTGGAACTGTTTTGTGTGTCTGCAATATCTTACAAGAAATGGAAATGAAACTATACTGATTACGCAGCTGCCTCATTGCAATGAGTTCAGCATCACCTGCTGCAGGATAGGAACAGATGCATAAAACAGCTACAATGGATCACTTGTGCTCACAAGCATCTCCCACATTCACAGCAGTATGGTTATTTTGCCTGTCCACTACCTGTGATTGCCAGGGAAAGACAGGGCCTGAATTTCATAAGTGACTAGTGGGTTTGGTTACCTAACTTGAGATTCTTTAAATAGGTCTGATTTTGAGAAGGCAGGCAATCAATACTATCTGCAAATCAGCTCCTTTAAAGGCTCCCTTTCTGAAGAGTTTAGACCTATAAAGCTAGGGACAGACATTCAAAAAGCCTGAGCCTGAATTGATTCAATCTTTGCAGGTTAGTCAACCTGGCTAGGTTGAACTGGTTTGCAACTGCACAGACATTCCCTCTGGACTGAAGAAATGCAAGCACATGCCTGCTGCCGTGGCTCAGGCTAGAAGCCAGGGGGCACTAGAACAGCCCTCCCATTTCACAGTACAGAGCTGAGGGGGGGCATGGCCAGACCCCAGCAGGAGGCTGTGATTAGGGAGGGGTGTAAACCCCCACCCTGCCTGCACCATCCCAGGCTTTTCCCTGCTCACTGCTCAAGGGGCTGGAATGGTGCCCTCCCCCAGCCCCTGGCTAGCACTCTGAGGCAAAGGAGGGTGTGCAGTGCATACATCTGTTGATGATACTGAGCTTTTCAGTCTCCATCTCCCTGTTTCTTCATACTGTCTGCAAACCTGACAGGCAAGGGAGCCAGCAGGGAGCTGCTAACACAGTGGTTATCAGCCCATAAACAAAACAAAAGCCTCTCTCATTAGTTCAAGCTCTTCTTAAACAGCTTTTTTCAAGGAAGGAGGGGAAGGATATTACCAACTGACCTGTTGATCAGCTCCAAAAAGCCCTAAGTGGACACTGTCTTGTCTGTCTTTGTTCTGTCCCAATGAAATTGGAAACACACACACACACACACACCTCTCAGCATTAGCTAGTATACCACATGCCTAGGGTCTTTGGGGCTGGGGTCCATGTTGTGGGAGATGAGAGGGAGGGAGGAAGGGAAGGAGGAAGGGAGGGAGAGAATCCCTGCTTGAGCAATGGGGTGTGGGGGTAGGGGGAAACAAGGTTACTGTGCCCACAGTCTCTGCCAGAGCTCAGGCTAGAGAGCAAAGGGATGGGGTTAGCCCTGTTCTCTGGAGCAGACAGCACAGCCCAAGGCTGCAGAGCAGCTGTGATGCTGTGGGACTCTGGTTTAACTTAAGCCAGGAAGAGGTCTGGGACAGAAATTGCATAAACTGGTTTGACCCAAATCAGTTAAGTTTAATACTACATTCAACCAGGTTTATTTTAAACCAGATTCAGACATTTTGAA